TCCCTCCCCCCCCCAGCCACGCACGCACGAGAGCCGCGGCGGTCGGTGGCGTCCTGCCACGAGCCCGGTGGGCAGCGCGAGGAAGCAGTCCTGCGCAAACCTTGGTTCAGTTTTTCCTCAGCTTGAACAAAGTCGAGATCAGACGCACACCGGGGCAGTCATCCGTGCCCTGCCCGGAGGGAAATAGTGTAGAGATATCCCGACTTGCCTTTCTTTTCCCTCTCCTCAAAACATAAGGTTTTTAGCTCGAGTATTTCAAGTAAAGTATGGTGAGCAAAAGTGGTCCTGGGGTGATAGTGGTTTGGGGGGGAGGGTGTTTAAATCTTGACCCCCTTCATTGTAAGCTGAAACCTTAGAGAGCTGAGAACGGAGAAATCAGCAGGTCGCGTAAGTTTCGTTCCTACATTACAAGCAGAGAAGAAACTGGATCCCTTAGCAAAATAGCTGAAAATAACTCTTTTCCATGTAATCAATTGTTTTAGCTGCTTCAGGGTTGTTGGATAGTTTGGAGAATGGGGGGGTGATGAGCTCAAAGCATTTGAGCATGCTTCAGTAAAACTTGGAAACCCATCACATAAGTTACTAAGCTAATATCTTATTTTTTTCCCAGCAGACGTTCCTACTGGCATTGCGAATAAACTGCCAACACAGTTAGAGCTGAAAATCTGTTGGTTTGCTGCTTTAACTCATAGGTTTGTCATGATATACTGTATGCACATTAGGTCCAACTTTAGCTATTTACAAAAAAGACCAATACATCTCTGTACTATTCTCTGAATGGACAGGTAAACTTCCATCTGGGGAATGTCTGTTCTGGCTCCACTATCTTGCTTCTTGTTTATGGAAGAGATGCAGTAGCGTTAGAAGTTCCTTTGAGTAACAAGGCATCTCTTGGTGACTTTTTTCTCATTGTGATAAAGGGATTTGTTCTGAGACTACTTTCAGCTCTGTAGTTAAGTTGTGGTATGCAACTGTTTCAGTGCCAGTTTAACTGCAGATAAAAAGGTTCTAGAGTTGAATAGAGTATCATGCTGATGTTAAGTACATTTTAAAAAGCTATTTTTGACAGTTTTTTTAACAACTTTCTATGGGGCAAAGTAGGAATAGGGCTGAACAGCTAATGGTGCATTAGCAAGGAGTCAATTCTCTTTTGGCTGTCATGGCCTTCAGAGGCCATTGTGGCAGAGATTGTGGCGGAGAGCTTTATGTTGGCCAGTACGGAGCCTCACTGGACAAAGCAACATGTGACAAAATCAGAGAAGGATTGCATACTTTACTTCAAGAAACTATTTAGATAGGCCTATCCCTTTCCTCTGTAACAATTCACAAAGTTTTAATTTGCCATACAGCTACTTTTAAAAAAGTTCTTGAGTTGTTAATGTTCTGTTTCATACCTTCTCTTAAGGTACTTAAGAAATTGAACAGCTCAGTTGAAACAATTAGTATCCTAATACCCCCTAAGTCAAAGTGATGTTTGATGTAAAGGATTTCAGGAGCAGATTTAGCTGTGTAGAAAGGAACTGAAGATAATACAAACACTTTAATGAAACCTAATAAAACCTTCAAAATTGTTAATGCATTAAATCATGGTACTTGTGATTTCGCAGTTGAGTTTAATTTGAAGTGAAGCTGGATTTTAACATGGAATTATATTAAATAATAATTTCCACTCTGAATAACAGTACGTATTGATCATTACTGGAGACCTGCCTGCCTTTCCCTGTGCAGTATTTGCAGGAATAAAACTTTGAAAAGAAACTCAAAACTCAAACAAACAACCCACAAAAATACACCTGATCTGGTAAATATTGATGGTTCTAATGCAACACAAACACAGTTTTACAGCAACATGTTATTTAGTTGACAGTATTCTATTTTGGCTACTGTAAAAAAGTTTAAAGAAACATCCAAAACAGTGATGAATTTCAAGTTCTGAGATTATTAAAGGCTAAAGGAAACGTGATTTTTTTTGTTTGAATGCTTAGATAAATTCATGGAGCTTACATTGTGAAGTACTTGATTTTTGTAATGATGTGTACATAAATTTAAAGTTTATTTTGAAAAGTTGGGCATGTACGTAGGGTAGTAATCAAATACATCACTTGGAAGCAAAAGTAATGCAGATGGCTAGTGCTACAGATTGCTGAGGATCAAGTGTTAAAATTTCTGATGTTGCAAGAATAGAATCAGTGAAGGATTCTTGCACTGTTGTTAATGGAAAATATTTGTCAATACAGAAAACATTTAACACATCCTCTAGTGTTCCAGTTTTGTAGGCTGCTGGATCACTGATTACAATAGGTTACACACAAGGTATTTTGCAAATACTGCTTATTGGAATTGTTAAATGTTTTTTGCTTTAAAATCTAGATAAGTAGAATTTGGGTTTGGGTATCAAAGGTGGAATTTGCTTGCCCTGTACCACTGGTCTTCATGATATTTATGTAAGACAATCAGCATAGTAGGTTGTTTTCTATGGATTTTAGCTTTAGGTTGTACCTAGTTATTCCAAAAGTTGTAAAAATACATTTATTAGCATAGCAGATGTTCCTTCTGCAGCTCTTCTTAAATGTGAGCAAAATAGGCTGAGGATTTTTACCCTTTTAAATAACATTTTTTTTTTTTCTGCTTTCACTCCTCTCCTGTTTCCTCACACCCGTGCGTTGCAGCCAGAGAAGGCCCTGCTTCACAGGAGTTGGGGTAAGTACTGACTGATCCAACCTGTTTTCTAGGTTTCCTAGATCTAAAAGAAAGGCTGAGTTAGAGTACCCTTCCAAAATGGCTGCTCTTAAGGAAGAGAGAGAGGTGGAAGACTACAAGAGGAAAGGAAGACGATCCTCACAGGTGAGATGATTGCTTTTTTTTATTAAAGTAGCTTTAAGGGGGAAAGATTAAAAAAAAAACCTTAACCATTTCTATCTGATGTATTAATTCATAGCTTTTTTTCCTACCTTCTTCATCCCCATATTAGCGGAGTAACTGTAAATTGCAGTATATTACTTAACAATTTTAAGGGGTGGGGTGTTAAGCATAGTGGGGAAATCTTGCTTTTCTAGTTTTCTGTTATAACAATACTAATTAAATGTATGTTTGTGATTGTGATAAGGTGTACTTATTTTTTTAAGAAATTCATGCATCCTGACAGTATCAGCAGGA